CGAAGGTGGGAAACGTTGATTCCCAAAGCCACTTAGACACATGTCTGACGTGTGCCATATTTATGCAATTGAAAATCATCGCAGGATTCAGAACAAATTTTATCTTTAAGAAGGTCAAGCTGAGCCAGGTCCAACGTCAACATCAAAAAGTTTGCGTCAGTCAACTATCCGACACCAAACGTTTTGCATTCAGAAACTCCATCTATAAGACCTCCTTATCCAATGCTTCGTTTCCGTTCTTTTGATCCGGTATTGAGACACTTGGCACTCTGTTTATGTGCAGATCCCCATCTTCATCCAAACCAAGTTCTGTGCCTTCCTTGCTGCTGCCATCGCCCACGTCACACATTTCGTATGTATCCGCAGGTGGTGGAGGTGGCGGGGGAGGTGGAGGCGATAAGGACCTCTGTCGCTTTCCAGGGGAGGAAGAGTCACTCTTATATCCATCACCATTTTCTTGCTCTTCCCGCTTGAGTTTAGAGCGTTCCTCGACGCCATCCTTGCCTGGAGTCAATTCTGAATCTGATGGAGGCGGAGTGGCTGATTTTGTCCTTTTACAAGGGGAGTCGGCCCTACTACCGATATCCGCATCGAGGTTGCTATCAGCACCCCTCTTCCGCTTCAGGCTATTTTCGTCGACGCTCATTGGTGAAGATTTCTTATCTTCCACCTTGTCCATCTCGTCATCTGACATTTTTAAATCATCTTCGACGTCGCTCTCATCCTCCCTTTTAATGTCCTGTGTTTCCTGCGATAGCAACAACTCAGGATTCTTGACCTCATCCTTTGAGTCTTCGGTTGAAGACTTGACGGCATCCCTCGCTTTCTTTTCTGCCTTTTTCTTTTCGTATGCTCGTTGTTTCACAACCGCTTTATCGAAGTACTCTTTGCAGTACTTTTTGATTTGTTTGACTTGTTTGTCGCTGACTTTTGTTGGGTCGCTCACACGATTGTTTTTGAAATCAGAGTTCACAAGCTTTTTCCCCACCTAAACACCATATATTAGCTCAGTAAGGCGTAAAGTACGTAGGTTCTTAAGTCCATACCTCTTTCGCATAGCGCTTCAGGTCCTCTTTTGGTAACTTGTGTTTAAACTTATCTACAACGTATTTGACATGAGGAAATATCTTTAAATAACAAGTTAGTCTAGTCACAGCGCAGCAAAAGCTTTGACGTAGAGCACATACTGTATTCTCATAGAGTTTCTTTTGCTTTTCTTCACTGTATGATCGCCACTTTTCCTTGTGTTCTTTTTTCTCTGGAGCTTTTGCATCTCTGAGTGTGGAGGTAGTAGGGGTCTCCGACCTATCCTGCGTTTTTGGGGTGTTCTCTTTCGCGTTCATGATACCATCAATAATATCCTGCAATGCTTTGTCCTTAGATTCGGGTTTTGGTGGTGGGGGTGGTTGTGCAGCGGGAGTTGTTGGCCGTTTCCATGTCGTGGCACCTGAGGCAGAATAATAGTACGTCTTCCCATTCGATTCCGCAGCGAACCATCCTTGGGGTAACGGGTTGGCAAATGGTGGTCGACGAAAGGGTCTCGGGCCATGATGATACGAATTACGAGGACCTATGTTATTTCGGAGAGCAGCAGGGGCACGTGGAGCTTCAATGGAACGTGATCGGGACCGGGATCGTGATCGTGATCGAGAATTTGACGTGGGTTGTGTGTCGGTTTTAGATGACTCTCGTCGTTCGAAGCGATTGACTGTCGGGGTGTTATTCGTAGCTGCAGGGTCCCTCCTCATTCGAGGAATTCGATAGCCAACCTCCAGTGTGGACCAGACCTCCAGAAGAGCCGCTGCTTTCTTTTCCACACGCTCGTCACCACATTCAACCAATGGCTTGATAGTTGACTCAATCTTCGAATCGATAATCTTGTTTCTGGTAAGTCTCGGGAACTTATCCAGGATATCAAAAATTTGCAGCACAACATTAAAATCGTCTTTCCAGGCACTGAGCTGCGAATTGAGAATCTTGTATCCATGCATTTTGACAACGCGGTTTCGCACGCGCTCATCATCACAACGTTGAATACGGCCAAGTAGCTT